TTTATCAGAAAAACGTTATTTTTATGTTAATCATCATGAACATAAACATGGAGCCAGTAGCACCCTGGGAGCAAAAAGCATAAAGCTATAAGTAATTGAGTATACATTCATCTCTACTGCATATAACAGTAACTTACAGTAAAATTGTCTAATGCTTGCTTTCCTTTCATACATTGACATAGTATTATTCCCATTCTCATACGTCTGCATAAATGTTGAAGGAAATATTATGAAATTAAATCTACAAAATGATTACGATAATTTCAAAACAAGAAATGGAAAATTAGGAAGGAAACAAAAGAAGAAAATAACATTTAAACACAGAAATATATGGTGCTCTACTAAAGCATTGAATATATATAACATTTAGTGTTAGAAAGTTAGGAAATTCTTTTAATTTATAATAGAACATCCTAAATTACTTCTAAGGATTAGATTATGTTAGATTATCTTTAGGACTAGTTTCTTATCGTAGAATATCTCCTAGGATTACTTTCATATTTCTTAGTAATTTAACGATTGCTTCCTTATTTAAGGTTAAGCAGAATCGGAAATCTATTTAATCAATATAAATAAGGGTTAGAGCCTTATTCTTTTGAATAAGATCATTATATCAAATCATATTAATAATTCCCTAAAAAGTTGTTCCAAGTAGTAATGGACTCAATCCTCTTAAACAAGGATCAATAGATATTTTGTACTATTAACATGGTTATTAAAAAGAAAATCATGTTCATAATTCAAGGATACTATCTTGTTCTCTTCTCTCCTTTTTCTCTAGAACCTTGCAACTTAAACATTTAGGACATATATACATACCACATAAATTAGAATTCTCAGCAAACCCAGAGCACCAGCGAGGCGAAAATCTGCCCACTGAACAAGAAATAGAAAAATAGGGGCTGCTGGACTGTATGATATCCTCATCTGAAAACATCCTCCATCTTTGTCCCTTGGATATCCTAATGCCCTAACAAAGAGGGGAAAAAGATAGCACATTAAGTACAATCTCACATAAGAAAACTGTTGAACTCTGGTAAAAGAATTTGTATGAAAGATCCAAGTATAAGCATATCAATGAAGTGTTAGATATTGAAAAGTCTTGTCCAATTCAATTTTCCAAAAAAGAAACTGAGTGTCATACAAATTCATAGGTGGAGTTCATCAATCATCAACCACTTCTTTAAACAAATTCTCAGCTTCAAAGTCCAAAAAAGAAACTGAATGTCATACACCTGTTTTCTCTCTAACTCCTACAAAAGAATCCATTACTCCATAAACTGGCCCAATCAAATCCAATGCCTGGGGGAAAATATCATTCAATTAAAAAATATTCTCCGTGGAGTTAAATTACTTAGGAAAAAAATATGTAGAACTAATTTAATTTGGAATCAGTGATATTACTTAGGAAAGACATTTTATGGCTGTGATAGGATATATGGAATTGCTACTGATTGATAGACGGTGGAAGTGCTGGTAAGGGTATAATTCAAACAAAATAAAAAAATTATCACATGGCTATTTGGACAGCCAAATCATACAAATTGATTTCACATACCATAATAAGCAATTATTATCATTACCTATATGGTGCTCAATTCAGCGTCTTCAGTGATCACAAGAGTCTAAAGTACCTGTTTGATCAAAAGGAGCTGAACATGAGGCAGAGGCGGTGGATGGAGTTTTTGAAGGATTATGACTTCTAGTTGATGTATCATCCTGGGAAGGCCAATGTTGTGGCTGATGCGCTGAGTAGGAAATCCATCCACATGTCTAGTATGATGGTGAAAGAGTTGGAGCTGGTTGAGGAGTTTATTTCTGAAGGTGACCCCAACCTCTGGTGGGTAGAGCGCTGAAGGCAAAGAAGTTGACACCGATGTTTGTTGGTCCCTATCAAATAATACAGCGTGTGGGTCCGGTTGCTTATTGGTTGGCTTTGCCACCGTCTCTTTCAAACTTACACGATGTATTTCATGTATCCTAACTGAGGAAGTATGTCCATGACCCTGGTCATGTGGTGGAGTTGGATGATGTACGGGTAAAGGAGAATCTAACGTTTGAGAAGTCGCCGATAGCTGTGGTTGATCATAAGCTGAAGGACCTGAGGGGAAATTCCATTGCTCTGGTGAAGGTGTTGTGGGATGCAGTTACTGGGGAGGCTACTTGGGAAGTTGAGCAGCAGTGCAGGGAGCAATATCCATTTTTATTCCCAAGTAAGTCTGTTTTCGGGGACAAAAATTCCTGTTGTTGGGGAGGTTGTGAGACCCGTCCCTCATTTCCCTCCCTCTCAACTCTCAAACTCTCTTTTTCTCACTCACTTCTCATTCTCTCTCAAACTTCCTTGTGGTGAATCTTGGTGGTTGTACGTGCAAGTGGTGAGAGAGCTGATTCCTACTCCCTGAGCTGATTTCTCAAGCTTGTTCTCTTCTCCGTCGTCATCCGTTTTCTCTCGTTCAAGCTTTTTCTCCTTCCCGGAGCTTGGATTCTTCACCGAGGTAAGGGAAGCTAGGATTTCTTGCCGGTTGTTTGATTTAGTGAGTTAGAAACTCAAGGATTTGCTGAAATATCAAAGATTTGAGATGTTTTGGGAGAAGACTCGTTTTCGGGGTTTGGGTGAAAAATTGGGGATCTTCATTGTTTATGGTTGCACATGGGAAAAGCTGGGATTTTTTGGGTTGTTTGATGAAAATGTGATGTTTTGGGCCGATTACATGTGTTTGGGAAGCTGATTTTGAAGAAATTTTCGAAGTTTGAGGGTTCCTAATTGAGAACACGTCAGGCGCAGTTCTTGGCATCGGGCGCGTGACCATCAAAGGGCACCTTTGGTCGAGCCCGCCGGGCGCGAGGTTGTGTGCGCCGAGCGAGCTTAAAGAGGGATGCCCCAAGATGGTTTACGCCGGGCGTGGTTGGACCACGTTGGGCGCGTTATCAGTCAGTGACCACTTTGTTGTGATTTTGGTGTGGCGCCAGGCGTGACTTTGTCTCGCCGGGCGTGGAGATTCCTTGGGAGTCTCTGCCAGTGGTGGCGCTGGGCGCAATTGGTATTGCACCAGGCGTGAGACCTTGGGAAGGTCTCTGCCTTCCTTGCGCCAAGCGCGGGATTGGCACGCCGGGCGTGTGAGACCTTTTGAGGTCTCTGCCTCCTAACACACCAGGCGCAATGAGAATTACGTCGGGCGCGTTTGAGCCCTGATGCTCTCTGGTTGGGCCACGCCGGGCACAACCATGAGTGCACCGGACGCGGATAAGATGTTTATTTATATGCTATTATATGCTGATAAAGGGTGTGAATTGCTGATAAATGTTGATATATGTTGAGCTGAGTTGAAATTGATGAATATTGTTGTGCTGTTAGATGATAATGTTGAATTATAATATTGTTGTGCTGTGAGCTGTTTAAGCCGCGCTGTGAGATGTTTAAGTTGTGTTTTATATTATTTAGTTGTGTTGTATGTTGATTTTGCTGTATGTTGTGTTGTGCTGCATGCTGATATAAATTGTTGTAGGCCGTAAGGCTAAGCTGTTATAGGCCGTAAGGCTGAGCTGTTGTAGGCCGTAAGGCTGAGCTGTTGTAGGCCGTAAGGCTGAACTGCTGTAGGAGATCTCCGAGCTGATATGCGTGACGACGCATTGTGTGTTTACCGCTGTTTATGCTGTATGATGTGAACTATATATGTGATGAGTTGTATGCTGATGATGTGCTGATAGTTGTAGCTGTTCATATTTCTTATATATGTTTTATATGCTGATTCTTTTCACTAGCTTACCCTTTGTTGTTTCTATGTAGTTTGGACTGTGATGATCATACTATGTATGGGAGCAGAACAGGGATAGGCTGGTCTTGAGGCAGATCTGCAGCTAGCAGATGGAGCTATTCTTTTGATGATTTTACTATTTTAGTTACTTAGTGTAACATTGCTGGATGTATTTTGAATACTCTGATTTTTAGCCCCAGATTGTACCTTGTGTATATATTTTAGTTGCATATATATATATGCTTGTTCTTTTCTGTGTGGTGTTGTGGTGTAGTGCTGTGTGTGGCGACCAGGCGGGTCGTTATAATATATATAGTAAAAATATAAAAATTAATTTTCACACGCACAATTCATTTGATAATTTATATTTATATTATTTTTTTCTCTAATACTAATGTTATCTTTTTTCGATTCTTCAACTCTTTCATACAAAAAATAAATACTTATTAATATTAAATCTTTAAAAACTTCAAACATAAATTATATTAAATAGGTGTTTCTGTTATAGTTCAATAGCATACAAGATAAATTGAAAAGAAAAAAAAGTCGTAATTACAAAATAAGGAAAAGGTCAAATTATTCTATTATAACCATTATATTTAACGAGCTTGTATGTATTGTATGTATTAAATAATCAACACAAATATTTGTAATTTTTTCCATCAAATTTAATCTTATTATTAGTGAGAAAATAATATATTAAATAATATTTATTTATGTAATTTATAATTTAATAGTTTTTTCATCAATTATATTTTTTATATTTCGGTTGTAATTAATAATTAATGTAATATATTAATTTCTATTATTATTTTAAGATATAATTATTATGCTCAATTAATATTTATAATTTAAAAAAAAAACATATAAGCATAATTTTTTATATATATTATATATAATATGAATAAAATAAATATAAGTATTTTCATATATACAATAAATATATTATTTATAATATAAAAATAATCATTTTTCATTTATTTCAAAGTTTTTGTCTACTAAATATTCCTAATAAGCAAATAAATCTTTTTATATCTTACACTATTTAATAAATTTAAATGCATTAAATTTCAGTAAAACAAAATGATAAGATATGTTTGCAAATGCTACACTATATGCAAATATCTCCCGATTCAATTGAATTTTTTATACTTTTCTCATTTAATTATTTCTCTTGAGATTATTATCTATGTTCATCTTTTTCAATAAATTTACAAGGTTAGACATAAAAAAGATATTTTTATCATAAAAGGATAAGGTGTCAAAAAATAAAACATAATTAAAGTTGATATTATATGTTGTGGTGTAAGAACTAACATGTATTGACTAAATGAATATATATAT